TTTTAGTCCATTTAGTCTGTTAATAGACTAAGCGGAGCCTTGGGGCAGTGTTCATCACGGAGCTGCGCCGCCGTTTGAACCTTCCCGACGCTAGCGAGGACAAATGGTGCCCCCAATGCAACGGCATCCTGGACACCCTGTCCCTCCACGCTGGCACTTGCGTGGCCGGGGGGAGAGCGAACCCTGTGCCATACCGCCGTCCGCGATGTCCTGTGCCGTTGGGCTGAACGGGGCGGGCTCCAACCAGACGACCGGGGCTCCTGCTCCCCCAGCGTCCCGAAGACGCTAGCCACCAACAACGTAGACCGGCCGACATCTTCCTCCCCAGCTACAACGGTGCGCCTGCTGCCCTCGACTTGGCCATCACGGCCCCACAGCGGCAGGACATCGTTGCCAGGGCGGCCACCACAGCCCTGACGGCTGCCGCCAGCTATGCCGCCACTAAAGCTTCACACCTGGACACAGCGAACCTTTGCGCGGCCCAAGGGGTGCGTTTTGTACCACTGGTCGCTGAGTCAACTGGCGCGTGGGAGCCGGAGGCGAGCAAATTGTTGTTACACCTGTCACGGAGCGCACGGCCCGGACTGAAGGCGAGGGCGACCTCCTGCACAGCTCGCTCCTTCAAGAACTCTGCGTGGTGGTCCGCAGCCACCGTGCACGAGCGGTGCTCCGCCGCCGTGCTGAACTTTCAGAGCTACTGCTACTAAGACTACGACTGCGATTACTACTACTACTACCACCACCACCACCACTACTACTACTACTGCTACTACTACTACTACTACTACTACAACCACTACCAGTACTGGTAAAAATTCATGTTGGTCGGTTGTTTTGGGGAGGGGTCAACAAGCAATGACGGGGCTGCAGATTTTGTTTCCACTCCCTTGTAGAGACAAGAGAAGAAGATATGTTGTCATGGGGTTGCAGTTTGTGTTTGTACCTTTTTGTTGTTTTTGTTCTTGCTGTTGTTGCTCTGGTTGCTGTCGTTGTCGTTGTGGTTGTGGTGGTTGTCGTTGTCGTTGTCGCTGTCGCTGTCGTTGTGGTTGGTGTTGTGGTTGTGGTTGTTAATTGTTGTCAATTGTTGTTGTTGTCGTCAATTGTTGTTGTTGTTGTTGTTGTTGTTGTTGTTGTGGTTACCACTTTCCCGAGTAACAGCACAGGGCATGTCTGAGGGTTTGGATGCTTGGGCAGCCGTTGCGACAGGTCTTCAATGCATCTGATGGTGTGCTGGCACAGTTGATTGGGGCCAGGATCGGCAGCATTACCAAGAAGAGAGACCATGACGAATTAATAATACCATGAACAATACCCAGGCTGGATTGGGTTGCACCAAGATAAATTAGATAGGTAGATAGATACACAAATGTATGTGTATATATATATATAGAACGTTTGTTTGGATAAAGTAATCCGAAGTGGGAAACGGCCAAGTTCTCTCTGTGGATTGGACAAGCCAAACCTCGACTTTTAACTCTGGCATTCTAACATGCGGTGGATTGCCGAGTGTTGGGAAGTATATACTGGTCCCTATGAACCTATGATGGTGTTCCTTGTAGCTGACAGACTCCCCTAAATATAGTCTTGAGTCTTAGGCGTCTAAAAGCTGCAAGAACACCAAAAGAAGTTGGGAATCTTGAACATGTTGCATTTGGTCACGAAAGGTAGTTTTTGAGGGGCTACCTTGAGTTTATCTTGCTGGAAGGGTCCAGTGATTGGTTGGTCATTGTCATGGAGCCCCGTACATCCAAAACAACGGAGGGACCTGCGGCTTTTGGAAGGTGTTGTTATTTTATGTTATTTTCAAGGCGGCTTGTGTTCATGTCACCAAACTTTAGTATGCCTTAATATTGAATAGGGATTTGAAGTTGACAGGGGTGATTTGATTTCGTGTGGTTTGGGTACCAGGAAAGCGATCGAACGAACGTCATTTCGCTGCCAGCAAACCAAAAAAATAGTTATTCGAACACCTGGACAAAGCATGATTATCCTTGGGTTTGGCAGCATTCCCAAGCCTATATAAATCATTGGATATCAATGATGTTTCAACAATGAACCTACTATACTTGTCTCATCCAACAAATGGCCGTAATGGTCCCAACACAAAGTATACCCAAAGCAAAGGTCTCAAACACTCCAAGTCCCTGTTTGGAGGTTCCCCAACACCACACAACCAAAACAGCAGCACGAAATGACGATCCTTTCAGCCAAAAATATGCGACACACACAAACTCTCAAGCATGTTCGTATCATGACAACGAATGTTGATATCGCCCCCATCCCCTGTGTAGTGTTTTTGGTTAAAAAACGACTCAACCTCTGTATGATATTGCGATCTCAAGGGTAAGAGAAGATACTGTGCTTCACAAGCTTTCGCAACTCAACCAATCTTGAGTACCGGAACTCCATGTCACACACCCCACGCGTCTTGCATGGACCCACACCAAAAATCACAAACATATTTCTGCGTGTCAGGGGCTAAACCGGGATGTATCTAAAACAAGGAAACCTGCGGGCTTGCCAAGCTGGCGGGCTTCAGGGTTCGACTCTGGCTTCGCACAGTAGTGCTGTGGTGTGATCAGAACACCAGGCTTTGTTGCTACCAGCAGCGAACACGTCGGGCAATAACATAAATTAACCTTAGTACCTACCAGTTTACCACTTCAGCATAGCTAAAATGGTAAAAGCCTACCTGCCCAAACGGTAGAACCTACCACTGCGCAAGCATGCATCAGCGGTGAAAACCGATCACCAGAGCACGTACCACTTCAGAAGTGACCGGAAAGAAACTGCTTCATCAGTAAGATCCAATCAAAAACCTTTACACTGCAAAATAAAGATTTAGCGTTCTTGGCCGCCACAGGGAAACACACCACTTGCTTCTGCACTGAACAGTTTGGTCCAGTGATTGATGAATACTGAATACCGCTTTTACATCCTTTTACCAAGTGGAGGGTTCAGGTTCAATCCCTGAATCTGGCATGATGAGACTTCGATGTAGCAGCGTAGCTACATTTGCTGTTTTTATTTAATTTATGTTCATTGTTTCCACAAGCGGGTTTAATGCCAGATCAGGAACTGATGTTGGATTGTCCCATTTTGGCCAGTCCAATCATGAAGTGAACATGGTTGGAAGAGGCTTGAAAGAAGGGTTTAGATCTGGGTCATGTCGTCAGCAATGGATCCAGGGTGGACGATTGTCCCAGACACTGTTGACGGTTATCATCGGTTATCCCAACAATTGTTTACGCCAAGGCAGCTTCATCCACAAGTGGGGAGGCTGCAAAAAGAAGAAGGCTCATTGGGCCTTGGGAAGCCTCATGCCGCTGTGGGTGACAATGCTATTTGGATCCACTTGGTAACATGGCTGGCAAATGAAGCGAAGCATGTCCAAGGCAATATTGAAGTCTGTACTGGAATGTCCGTTGCCCATCACTCTCAGCATGTCATGAGCTTTTTTACGTTAGCTCGTTGATGTCCCAGAATATCGGGCAGGAGCCGCCAGCGGAGGACGAGGCCCAAGAGAATTGAGCATTGTCACAATCCTCCCACAAATCCACTTGTTTGGGGGGGTGCTCCTCCAATTTCATTTGTTCAAGAAAACAGACGATGAGAAACGAGAAGGGCCAGGCTGTGGTAGCATTTTGCATTGTTGAACAATTTGTCCACCGCGTTTCATGAGTCCCAAGCAAAGTCGCCCCTACTAGTACGTCCAGTGACAATCACCTTTTCATGCATGGGGGGCTGGGAGAATATATGCTGTATAATATTCTTTTGAGTTTGGGCCAAGTTTGGGCCATGGGCCATGGGGGGATCTGGTTGGGTAGGCCCGAATGACAGAGTATCTATGATTATTGTAGCAGAGTGAAGTCGCTGCAATATTCAAGTTTGCCACGGAAATTTGTGAACTAGTAAAGTGTAGCGTAGCAACAATTAGTGTAGTGAACTCCATCTTTCAGTCACTAGGCGTGACAGTCAATGTATGGAGGGCATTGGACCACATCTCAACCAGGTGCAAATCCGGGAATTAGCATACACAATCATTTGGTCAACCACAGGTGAAAGGCCTTTCAGTTTTCACACAGGCGGCTTTCTAGCAGGCTAGCAGCTCGAAACAGCAACTGAGCGATAAACATTGGCTGGTCTACACGGACTTACACGTAGCCCAGCTGCTTACTCTTAGTTCCTCACCTGTGTGTTCTCAGAATGTTTTGTTCGGAGCGACAACCCCAATCTCCAGTGACCTGCCAGGGGCCTCCACCCGATTCAGATGGTGACGATGATCCAAAACCAGATGAATGGCAAGGCTTGAGGCCTGCACCTCAATTGGGTCTTTACGCGTTTCTTCAAGATGAACTCCATGCACGTACTATGTGGCTAAATGGGCACATTCGGTATCATTCAATTTGTTTGTCGAAGGAAACATACATGACAATACCTACTGCAAACGACCATTTGATCATCTCTTTGTCAACTACCACCAAAACCCAGAGCTCACCTGCTTCACAAGGTCCCCTGCCGGCATTGCAGTGAATGCCAGCGGCATGATCGTGGCTGGCACCCTGAGTGTGATCGTAGTGATTCATCAACGAGTTGCATGATTCAGGGTTGAAACTCCGTGATCATATCCCTCGCACTCCATTTCAACAAGCCTTTGATGGTGAAGCTTGAAACATCACCAAGGTCTCCTTTTGTAATTGAATGGGTTTGCAATCCAGATTCAGGGGCATTCTTTTATTCCTTTTTTGTACAATACCATATACCTGATGATAGAATGGTTGACAGAGAATATCGAAGTCTTCTATGTGTTACAAATAAACTCTAGACTCTAGAAGCATCATCCGTAGCCCTGGACTGCAAACTGTAATTCGAGGTCACAGACTACCACACACATGGCATCTACGCTTTCTGAACGCGGATCTGCTGGGCTGCTGATGCAGCTGTGCTTGACTCCCCAAGCAGGGGTTGAACACTTAGTTAGTGGTTGCATTTGTTTCGCATGTTTTTTCCATTTCTGCTGCTTGTTCAAACTATAACTACAAAGAGAGCTGCAGCGGAAGGCATTCAGAGGGCGGCGGCACGTCGGCCGTGAGTTTGCAATGAGTTTTAGCCGGGCCATAGCCATTTGACACTTGTTATCATTGTATTGGATCATTATATATATATAGAGAGATATGTTTGAGTTCCGGACTTAGCATAATGCCCTCTGCGCAACAGTTTCACTCAAGATGCGGAACTCTTTTAGTCGTACTTTGATTTGGTGCCGGTAGTTGCCAAACACATGTAACTTGTGACAATATATACACATGGAGACAAAGAGAACAGGTGTGTATGCCGGAGATTCCTGGCCAGTGATACCCAAAAGAGATACAACAGACTTTTAATTCATTGCAGGGGGACAATTCAGAACAATACGTACAGTATATGAGTTGCTCTCAAAACCATCATTGTTTACTTTATACATCGGGAGTCCTGGGAGATGAAACACCAACCTTTTCCGTGGAAAACAATCCGGGATGTCGCAAAGCTTTGCAAGGCAACACTTACAGTGTCCGTGCAAAATGCCCCGAAGAAGCATTTAGAAAACAACTTATAACAATTATTCAAGCTTTTGGTGGTATGTAGTTTACCATTGCCAGGCACCGAAGACAGCTCCGGGCAACTCGGAGTAGCTGGCCCTGGGCAAGATCACTGGACAAAATGCCTAGTGGAGTCCAGGAAAATTGAACACGGGTGGGATGCCATTTACTACAACCTGAACCTCCCCCGACGCATGCCACATTGGTGCAAAGGAAGGCCCGCAAGTTGCAAGGCCTTGGTTTGACGCCTTAGTCTGCACATGTGTTGCTTCAGTGGGCACAGACAAGCTTTACTTTCCTTGCACAAACAGTTTTGTGACGCAGACATCCTTGCTAGGCTTTGTGGCTTTAGTTTGTTTGATACACAGGGTCCTTTTGTGAAGGGAGAAGGCATGTTATGGCCGCAGTAGAAAAGTACCGTTTGTTCACAAGTTAGTTGTTCACAAGTTAGTAGTAGAAAGATGTCGTGATGTAGTAAGTTCGTCTAAATCTCCTTGCTTTTTGCTGATGTGGGTGCCTCGCGAAAGGTTGGAAACCTTCCCATAGAATGCATGCTTTCTCTTGAGAGATCAACGGTGGCATCCAACCGGTGGGGAGCCTGATGTCACCTAAGTGGTTTGTGCCAGTAGCCCCAGCATTCCTAAAGGCAGCGATCATCCAGTAAGGGATGTGGCAACTTGAATCATGGGGACACGTAGATGGGCAATGCAAAATCATAATATATTTATGCGTGTTCCTTGGCACACACCTGTTTTGCCACGTGTTTGCTGGCCAATCACACACGCTACAGCATCCGCGAGCGAAGCACGCGTAACGGAAGAACCGCAGAGGGCCGCAGAGGGTAACCAGGCTGCAAAGTGGGGTGTGCACAGGCTGAAGTTGTTTACTCCCAAGGCGACTCAAGGCATCATCATCAGCAGCATTTTTTTGCGGTTCTAACAAAGAGTTTTCTGAGTTTACAACAAGGTATAGCACGATACTGTGGTGCTGCTGTCACTGAGCCCAAGCGATTCCTGCGTAAATGATGAGCACAATGACTGTCACCGCGGACAATTTCTCTACAAATTCCTGCTTGCGTTGAGACATGCAACCATTCTGCCGATATGAACTGATCTAGGGATTCACACGCCCCAGCGCAAAGGGTGCACATCCTTGGCTGAACTGTTCAAGGAACATGTTCGTTGTGACTGAGAGCACTCGGCAGCTACACTCCCAAACCTTATTCATGCTCTTGGCTACCTATATAGAGTCCTACAGGAAATCTATCTATCTACAGTATCGCAAGTCAGACGCCAGTTCAGCAGTGGTGGCTTGACCAGAGGACCAAGAACATGATGCGTGAGCAACGGTTTGGGGGTTTCAGAAAAGGTTTGGTAGCTCATGGATGCAAGGTAATGTGATGAAGTCATCATGGGCCAAGTGGCAAACAATTAGAGCGAGCGAAAGCTGGTCAGGCTCGGACAGAGCTTCAGCAAGACTTGATGAACAAGCTGCAGGCCCAAAGTCGGCAAGTGACGACGGCCGGGACCCTGTTGGTCACACAGAATCTCCAGCTGAAGGATTCTGAGCTTAGTCACCAGCTGTGCTCAGGTCCGGGAGGAGCTTTATCGCGAAGTTGCCACATGGCGTAAAGACCTTGAGGTGCAGGCAAGATGCTGTGAGGGGAGATAGGTGTCACCAACAACTATGCCAGTAGAACAACACAGGTGGAACGCTGCCCATGCTGTCCCGGCATGCACATTCTTTCTCAAAGTGTTGACAGACCCTGAAGAGGTCACAACTAAATACCGCGTGGGAAGATTGTGCAAAGCCAGGATGGGCGATGACAGGTGTTATTTACATGTCCACTGCCAAATAGTAAAACGCCGCCCAGCGCTGCCATAAAATGAAATACTGCCAACTAGAACCTACATGCCTGCTGCCCTGAAGGTGAAGGAGGAGCTACGCAAGCACATGACCTCCTTGCAAGAGGGATGCAAGGCATCAATTGAAGCCCAGGCAGGTTGGCAGATTCAAAGAGAAGAGAGTTTGTAGGCCCAAACTCGCCTGAGATTGGTGAGAACAATCGCGGCCTTGCATCGTTGGGAACTGCGGGTTGCCGCAAGGGGTAGTGTGATGTAGCGTGGAGGCTGGTGCGACGAACCTAGCATACCTAGCAACCTAATCCCGGACCCCTTTGCTTCCGGTTGTTCATCTCATTTATGTGCGAGGTAAAGGACTCCTTGGTGACTTCTGATCGTGTGGAAAAGAGGATGGAGGCCCGCCGCGGAGCTCGGAGCCCTTGTTCTGGGCTTTGATTCTTGAATGCACAGGCTCCGAGTCTAGGAGAGTTGGAGAGTAGTTCAATTGATTGGCTGAAATGGGGAATATGAAATCTTTAAGTGTTGTCAACGGGTTCATCGAGAACAACCATTGGTTTGACCTAGGATTCATAAAGCACCGTCGTCACAGTATTGAATCTCCAGGCGTCAGGCTATATTATGTCTACTGTCTACATATGTATATATATAATCATCCTGGAGTAGATAGAATCTACTTTCGTAGGGGGTGTTTTCTTTTTGAAAAAACTCAGGGTTTTTGACATCCCTTTCATTTTATGAAGACTGACCCTATAGATAGAATATAGTGATAAGATTCTGATCAACTCCTCCCATTCCGGTATTTGCTCCTTTGTTATTTTCATGTTCTGTTCCTGTGTGTATTATCTAAGCTTTCCGTTCCTTGTTTCTTTTCTTTAGACGAACAGAAAATAGAACAAACAGAGAAGGAAAAGGACAAAGGAAAAGGAAGAGAAGCCCCTTAACCACATTCTATGTATGGGGTTTGAAAGGGCCGGTTTTGAGGAGTGAATTGTTTTTCGAAAATTCGTCCATTCTATCTACTCCAGGACGATTATATATACTATTATATACCTGTATATGTCGTTGGGTTTGCATTCTGCAAATTCTGCTTTGGCCTTCCCAGCGGTTGTGGTCCCCCGCGGCTGCGACCTTGCACTCCTTCAAGTGTTTAAGTAATTTGTTCTATAGTTGTTTGGTCAGGTGCCCACTTGTAAGAGCATGTTGCCGCACAAGGGTTGTGGGCGTTTGATTTGGCAGGAGATGTTTCACGAGTACCATGCTCAAGAAAGGACCTGCAAACCAAGACTGGTCTTCAAGTCAATGACTAGCTCAGGCTGCTCAGGGTTCGTTCTTGGCTTTTGGTTCAGGCTGCGCACATTGTAGCACTGTAAGACTTCAATACAGGTGCTGTTTGGGACTGTTTAACTCGCATGGTTTCCTCAGCCTGAAAGAGAGCGCTATCTGCAGCAAATTAGGGAAACCATGAGAAACCCCTCACGAGACCCAATAGACAGCACTTCGAGAGACTAGACAAAATTCTCTGTGATAAATTTGCAAGTTGCACAACAAGACCTTGACTGCAATTGTTTGAGCATGTTTCATTGACGCGCCTTACCCACAAGAAATAGCCTATGCCTCTTCAGGATGTGTGTAAAAGGCCTTGCTGTCAACCACTTGCAATGCCAAGATGTTTTACTGGTAACCTGTAGTTTTACTGGTAACTTGTAGTTACAGCGGATGTCATTATATAATATAGTGGCAGTGGGATTCAATGCACCTCAGGAGTGAGGTCAGGGTCATTGCCACGAAGACAGAAGGCTTTTGCGAGGAGATAGGGCTCTGGGGGGAGAGAGTCAACGTGAAACCCAAATGGTATCTTATGTTCTATCACCGGATCGAAGAGTGTGATGGACTCTCCACCGTGCCTGTGACTTTGCAGTATCATACACATGTAGAACCGCCAAGCTTTCTATTGCCGGTTTTGATGTTGGAGATTGGACTTCATACCCTTGCTGATCCACGCTGATCCTGTGAGGTGGATTTAACAGCGCTTATTGAAGCAAGAAGCAACGCGGCAACGCCCACCTTAGAGCCTTAGCATTTAATTTAGCTTGGCTAAAGCTTGGCTGACAGTAAGGTTGAACCAATGTTTGGGCAAAAACATATCTGGCAAACGCATATTCACTCAGGGGCGCTTGACTCCGCGCTGCTAACACATTCTGGTTGAAAGGTTGACAGGCCTACTGGGGGGGCTCTTCTTCACTGCATTGCCAGGAAAACACTGCATGGCAGGTACAACCATTACAGAAATTGGTGTGGGTGATAGATATGCCTACATGCTAGCTGCTAGCACCAGCGATGAACCAAGCAGTCCAGTGGGCTACATTGCCCATGTTGGATGATACAATTTCATGCAAATTTGATACCAACGGGTATGCATTGCCAAGCATTGATTTGTTGCAATTTAGATAATTCAGATGCTGAGGCTGCTC